GGTGGCCAAACTTGCTTAACCTAACAGCCACACAGAATAAACGTCAGATGTTTGAGAGCCACAAAACATGAACAAATATCACACACATGTTTTTATTGAAAAATATGCAAATTTGCTTTTTGTTAACATTAAATTAGACTGTGTGAAAGAGCCACATGCGGCTCCCGAGCTGCAGTTTGGCCACCCCTGCTCAAGGGCATCTTTGGAAAAGAATGACATAGAGACATTCCAGAGAGGTGTTGGCACCAGCAGTCTTCAGTGGGTGTCCGTTCTTGTGTTTGTATGATGCCTGAGGTAGGTAAGCAGCATCAGTTGGATGCTCGGGGCAATGCTTTAGCTGTGATAGTGACTTCACTTTGCTGCCTCAATGCACGCACAACTCAGTATACACGGTAGTTCTCTGGGGCTGCTGAAAAACGGCTCAGAATGGGAATTCGGCCTCCTGAAATCCTCTGCTTTCATGAAGTTTCTGGTCCTCATGGCTGTGAAGGTACTCATGGAAGAGCATGCCTAATACCTGCTAAAACTTCTGAAGCCAGACAGGCGGCTAAGACTTTCGTGCCCTTTTTCCCATTCCTCCAGTGAAGAAAAGCCGTTTAAATTATGCAAACCAAGAGGAGACAGGCATTTGTATCTGCCACAGAATGACATAGAGACATTCCAGAGAGGTTTCCATTGTACGGCCTGCGTGATCGCTTGACTACAGAATTTTAACTTCCTTTTTTTAAATGGAGAGTACTGCACATACTGTGGCTGCGGTGGCTGAGCTGCAGACTGGACACTGAGCTGCAGACTGGAAGGTCTGTAATTCAGCAATGTGAGACCCAAGTGCCACGAGATGGCGTGAGCTCTCGTCTCTGGCCCCAGCTCCTGCCAACCTAGCCATTTGAAAACAAGAAATTGCAAGTAGATAAATAAGTACCACTTTGGTGGGAAGGTAACAGAGAAGGGATACTCTCCTTGTGAGTTTTTGGAGGCATTTGGCTGATTGTTGTGGGATACAGAATATTGGCATAGACGAGTCTTGGTTCAATCCAGGAAGACAATTCTTACATTCTTAGCCGTTCGAAAGCAAGAAATTGCAAGTAGATAAATAGGTACCACTTTGGTGGGAAGGTAACAGCGTACCGTGCGCCTCGGCGTGTAGTCATGCTGGCCACACAACCATGGAAACGTCTTCAGACAGCGCTGGCTCTTCGGCTTGGAAACGGAGATGAGCATCGCCCCCTAGAGTCAGATTTGACTAGCTTTTGAGCAAGGGAAGCCTTTACCTTTACCTTACTGCACACATTCCTGCCACATAGGATGGATGAGGAAGGTCTCCGGGGAGGCCTCATATTCTTTCCCCAAACAAATACAGTGATGAAGAGCAGTGGAAATCCTGCTGTTGCAGGAAAGCAGAGATGGCCAGGCAACATGAAAAGTGTCCTAGTGGACAGCAGGAAGAGGTGGGACGGGAGTTGAGAGAGTGGTAGAATGAGAGGAGATCAGTTCGAAAGGCTGACCAGTCTGGTCTCGCACCAGGAGGCAGGTGTGCAACCCCAGCCAGGAGCAGAGAGTAAATAGCCTCAAACCTTTCACGCACTTGAGCCAGTCCATATTTCGATGACGATAACCAGCAAGAATACTGGCCATTCCAATCTGAGTGGAATGTTCCCTCCTGGCCCTCAGATGTGGGTTTTTTTGCTTCCTGTAGGAGAGGAAAGCCCGTCCATTAGGTGGCCGTCCCAAGAGCAATCCAGGTGGAAGTTTTTCTGCCATTTTCGAGCCCCTTTCTCTCTAGTTGTGGCAGATTTTGAGGTTCGGCACTGATGAGCGTAGATGAGCTGTAGGACTCAGCAGTTAGGAATAACGGAAAGATGTCGAGAGTGAGCTCCCGGTGCCGAACAGCGGAAGAAACGTAGCAAAGGGCAGTGGTCACAGTCGTTCCCTCTGACAAAGCGCTGTCTGCCCATCTTGAGGCTTAGATTATTTTTCTTATTAGCATATCTATTGCTTTTAGCCCGGAGATCAGTTTTTCATGTTTAGTGTTTAAAGTGGAATTGAATTGCAAACTAGCAGTTAACTCAAATGCTGTAAATAAGATGGATGGACTTGTCACTCAGGGGCCATAAAAATAGGAAATTTGTGAGTACTCTTTTAATTCAGCATTTACAGCCGTACAGTGATAGGAAAGAAGGTTCTCCCCAAGTGCCGAGGATACCGTTCGGTCAGCTCTTTTACTGCCCCCTGTAAATCCACCTCTGAGATAACCGAGCCCCATGATGAAGTGTCAGGAAATGGAAAGGCAACCCTGTAATTTCAAACTGGCATGTAAATTCCAGATGGGAAGGTTTCTGAGAAGACTTGAAGGTGAATAAAAAACTCTGTAGGTACATGTGGGGTGTGTGCACGAAGATAAAACTGTGATGGGGCAGGTGGACGGTAAACTGGAATAACGGGATTTGAACAGCCAAGGTTGGATATGACAGGCTCCTTTATTGAACCATGTCAGAGTTTGGTCCTGTACAGGGCTTTTTTTGTAGGAAAAGCCCAGCAGGAACTCATTAGCATAACAGGCCACACCCAACTTCAGAAACACATTGGCCTATTAGGCCACACCCCCAACAGCACAGCTCATTAGCATATTAGGCCACACCACATGCCTTCCCTTGGGAGGATCTGTCCTGCGAGGAGCTCGGGCAAGCCAGCCCTTGGACAGATCCTTCCGGGGGCCCCCCTGGCCCACCCGCCTTTGTAGTTGCTAGGGGGGGTTCGCTCTCCAGGCCTTCCCTCTGTAGCCACACACGCAGAGAGTTTGGCTGTAGTGGGCGTGACCAACTCTGAAGCTAGCCGGAACTCCGTTCCTGTGCGTTCCTGCCCAAAAATAGCCCTGGTCCTGTACTGAACTGGACAACGCTTGGGGCTGTGAGGTTCCCTGCATGGAGCTGAATCTGGTGGCGGGAAGTGCTGGCAAGCCGTAGCCAACGTATGGCGAGGGTTTTCAAGGCAAGGGATGGATATGGGAGATTTGCCATTGCCTGCCTCTGCAGAGCGGCCCCAGACTTCCTTGGTGGTGTCCCATCCAAGTACTAATCGGTGCTAAGTACTGACTAACCAGCTGCTGATGCTGCTTAGCTTCTGAGATCTGATGAGATCGAGCCAACCTGGGCCATCTGTATCAGGGCTCACGTCTGTGTCCGTAAAGCGTGCCTTCTTCCCTTCCGGAATTGGGACGTGCCAAACAGCTGTGCACAAACACGCACCTAACCGTCAGACCCATCTGTCATTCTGTGGCGTTCCTCCTCCTCCAAAGGTCTTCTAATGCAGTGGTTTTCTGTCCATCGGCTCAGGTCCCTCAGGTGGGTTACAGGGACTCACTTGCTGGAGTGGGAGTCCCCACAGAGCTGCTGTCTTTTTGGAGGGACCTGCTGCCAATGTAGATTTGTAGAGAGCTATGGTGCTGTGCCTCCTGCCCCCCTTTGCATGCATAGGGAGCAGTACAGTGGTGAAGTCACTCAGCGGTGAAAAGGATTTCTCCATTGGCTTCTTGCTCACCATGGTGCTCAGCTTGTCCCTGGCTTCTTGGTCAGCTGACTGTGATCCTGGCCTTGATGCTCATAGCTCATAATTCTCGCTCTACCTCTTCCTGCCATGTGGCTCTGTAGTCATGTGGCTTCCTGTCACTTTCTTGCATTCAGTGGGTTCTGGGTCCAGAAAAGGTGAAGGCTTCTGTTCTAAAGTATGAATAGTACAGTGATGGAAGTGTTGTAGTGTGGAGCAGAGTTCCATCAGTAGCTATTAGCTACAAGGTATAGATAGGAACTCTCAGTCTGGGGCAAGTGATGCACTGTATTCTTGGTGCTTGGGGGGGCAACAGTGGGACGGCTTCTAGTGTCCTGGCCCCACTGCTGGACCTCCTGATGGCACCTGGTATTTTTGGCCACTGTGTGACAGAGTGTTGGACTGGATGGGCCATTGGCCTGAATTTTCTAGCACAGGATCACACCTCATAGATTGCAGCAAGGTCTGCCTAAATCTTCATCAAACTGTTTCCTGTTTCAGGTGTTGCCAGGGAACAGCGCCAAGGGTAGGCTTGGGGTCTCTTGTACTGCCCCTCAAGCACACAGATGTTGCCTTTTCCCAGATTGCTGAGTTGTGAAACTACAGGGTGACCTAGAAGCCACAGAGGCTTACACTGTGGACATGCTGTATTCCTAAAGGCTGCTAGGGACACATATGTTACCGCAACTTCCCATCTACTTGGACTTCAGTTTTCCTAGCATAATGTGAGCACATAATGTTTTTCAGTTTCCAGGACCTGACTGTACTGTGTGCTTTGGCATCATCATCATAGTAGAACATGGTCTAGCATAGGTTTTGTCTGTTACTATCACCTAATGATAACAGACCCTGCACATTCTGAATAAGAAATATGGGTCCAACAAGAGGCTTTTAAAAGGGGGGATGAGACACATTTGTGGAGAGAACATCTATCAACAGTGATTAACCATAATACTTAATCTCCTGGTTCTCCATATTCCTGTATATTGGCCCTAGAGAAGGGATACCCTCCTTGTGAGCTTTTGGAGGCATTTGGCTGATTGTTGTGGGATACAGAATATTGGCATAGACGAGTCTTGGTTCAATCCAGGAAAATTCTTACATTCTTATTTCTCTAGGTGAACAGTGCTTCTGGGGACGGGACTGATGCCGTGGTGATTTTGGAGAAGACTCCCTTCCGGGAAGAGAACATTTCTGAGCTCCTTAAAAAACACACAAAGCTACAGCTTCAAATGTCCAATGACATCTACAGCACCTACCACCTCTACCTTCCTCCAGAGCTCAACGGTAGGTGGGTCAACATGGGAAGTCAAAACCTTCCAACCTTCTTCTTTGGATCACACCTTGTGGATTGCAGCGAGGTCTCCCCAGCTCTGTGTGTGGATGCATTTTGCCTGTGGCCCCTCCTGTTAAGGATGTGGTAGGGAAGAGCTGCGGTGGCTCAAGGGGTTAAGACGCTGAACTGCAGCCTGTGGAAGGTCAGTAGTTCAGCAGTTTGAGACCCGGGTGCCGCATGATGGAGTGAGTTCCCGTCTCTAGTTCCAGCTCCTGCCAACCTAGCAGTTCGAAAGCAAGAAATTGCAAGTAGATAAATAGGTACCACTTCGGTGGGAAGGGAACAGCGTTCCGTGCCCCTTGGTGTTTAGTCATGCCGGCCACATGACCACGGAAATGTCTTCGGACAGCGCTGGCTCTTCGGCTTTGAAGCGGAGATGAGCACCGCAACCCTAGAGTCGGATTCGACTGGCTTTCGAGCAAGGGAATCTTTACCTTTACCTAGGGAAGTGGACCAAGGAAGAGCTTGGGGTGTTTTGTAGCACCCTGGGTCTATCTGGTGGCTTTTAAAAAACTCTTTGCAGTTCATGTTTTTTTCTGTTTTTCTGGTGGCTTGGTAGCAGCCAATCTATCCATGCTCATTACTGCTTTGGAGCGGTGGTTACAGGTATGAGCTGGGTAGTCCTTGGTTCAGATTTTTAAAAGTATTATTATTACAAGCTTGCTAGGTAGCCTTAGGCAAGCCATTCTCTCTATACTTCAGCCTTTCCCTCTTGGCAGCTTGAAAGGGCGCTTTAGCTTTTACTGCCTTCCTTTGTTTTAATCTGCCTTCCAGACTCTGGCAGAAAGGTGAGGTTTAAAAATGGAAAGAGGTCATATGAAGGCAGTGGCACAAATGTGCCTTCCAGGGTTGCTGTAAGGATAGTTTAAGAGAGTACGGATGCCGCGCTTTGAACACTTGGGGTGGGAAACGATATTAAAATGCTAAGCGTTGCCTTCAATATATACATTAAAGCAGTAGGCGATTCGTTTTCCCGGGCCATTGTATTTCTTTTCTCCAGTCCTATTGTGATTGTTCAGTGGTCCATTCCTACTTGAACTAACTTGGCAAAATTGCTTAATCTCCCAACAAGGTAAAATAGGAATAGATGCTCTAGGATCCCTCAGGGAAAACTGAGCTATAAAACAAGAGGCAGAGGGAACACAATGCAGCATTCGGCATTGGGGTGTTTCGGCACAGGTGCAAATCGAGGAAACCTTTGCCAGCTCCCCGCCGGTCTGTACAATGCACGCCAGGGTCCCAGTTGATGCAGTGGAGTAGAATTGCAGCGGTCATCCTCAGAAGAGCCACACAGAGGGAGGGTTTGGCTGTGGAGGGGCAGCAAACCCGCTCCTTGTGGTCTCATGCCTCACCCGTTTGCTCAGAGCGTGCAGCTCCTGTTAATGGGCCGCCATCGCTGTCTCGGTGCCAGGGCCCTCCCACACAAGTGTGCTTCCTGTTCCTGGCTGCGTCAGAGCCATGGGTCACGCAGACACTGCTTAGGGTCCAGGCTGGTTCTTGTTCTGCTCCCCAAAAACCAACGAAGAGGCTGAGTTTACACAGCCCAGCAAATGGCTGCTTGGCTATTTGTGCCCGGGCTTTATGCTCCTGCACGCCCTGTTTTTTGCCCAGTTTGCAGGTGATGGGAAGGTATGTTGCAAAGGGAGCAGGATGCACAAAGGCCTGCAGCCCAGTTCTGTTCCCAAACCATGGTTTGGACTCAGACTACACTTTCCAGTGGCGGGATGGAACTTTCCTTGCTAGGCTATAAAACCTTCTCCTCAACAGGCTAAGGTTTCTATACATGGAGAAATTTTCTTTTCACAGAATAAGCATTTAGACCATGAAGTTTTCTCCTCCAGGGGTCATTTCGTAGAAAAAGAGCTAGGGGAACTCATTAGCATAACTCATTAGCATATGCCACACCCCCTGACATCACCGGAAGTGTGTCATAAGGCCACACCCCCTGACATCACTGGAAGTGTGTCATAAGGCCACACACACCGCCCCCAACAGTCCCGGCCGCCGCTGCCGGCCTTGCAGTTCCACTGCCGAGCCCCATGAGGGGCCCGGCGGTGGACCAGCAAGGCCGGCGGGAGTGCAAGGAAGCCCCGCAAAGGCCCTCCCTGGCCCCAGGCAGGCAG